GGTGTTCCAGCGAGTGTCTCTGTAGATCTAAGAAAACTATTTCTTGATTTAAGTCGTTGACGTGCTGGGTGATACCCAAACAAGGGATGAGCGGGAGATATCACTGCCTTGGTCCTTTCACTATTGGCTGCTACTTCCCGGGGGTGCAATACTGGCTAAACAGTGTAATTTCTCCAGTGATGTAGGGCGCAGACACCCCGTGATAATGCAGCATGTCTCATTAAGAGCCACATCTACTGTTTTAGCGTGGTGGGATGTTTCACACTGGGTATGCGTACTCAGCAGCAGAATAGCATAGCGCAAGGGCAGATGTCTTCACAGTGTCTGTGATCCCCAGGTTGTGCCAGTCAGCTTTCGTATGATATTGTTTCTAGTACCCACTTTTTGCTTGATGTTCAGGCAGTGCTTCTTGTAGGTCAGAGCACGGTCCAGAGTGACTCCCAGGTATTTGAGTGTGCTGCAATGCTCCAGTGGGATTCCTTCCCAGGTGATCCTCAGAGCTCGGGATGCTTGTCTGTTCTTAAGGTGAAATGCACATGTCTGTGTTTTAGATGGATTAGGGATCAGCTGGTTTTCCCTGTAATAGGCAGTAAGAGCACCTAGAGCTTCGGAGAGCTTCTTTTCAACCATCTCAAAGCTCCCTGCTTGAGCGGTGATGGCACGATCATCAGCATAGATGAAACTCTCTGTCCCTTCTGGCAGTGGCTGGTCATTTGTGTAGATGGTGAACATGGATGGAGCAAGCACGCTCCCCTGAGGCAGGCCATTCTTCTGTTTCCGCCATCTGCTTCTCTGGCCCTGGAACTCAACAAAAAAGCTCCTGTTTTGTAGCAGGTTTCCTATGAGGCGGGTGAGGTGGTAGTCCTTTGTGATATTATACATTTTTCTCAGGAGGAGGCGGTGGTTTACAGTATCATAATCCGCTGACAGGTCTATGAAGACCGCTCCTGTGATCTGCTGCCTTTCAAAGCCATCTTCTATGTGCTGAGTCCGGTAGCCTCCTCACAGGATTGCAAGACATCCGGGTGTCTCCTGGGCAACGTCTTCGTAGACGGCCAATTCTCTCACTCCAGAAGCGACTTGCAGCATGCAAACAAGCAAGCAAAACAACCAACGGACCTTTTCAGGACCAACCATTACAATAATCTCAATCAACATTGAAGAGAAGACTAATTGGAGAAACACAATTGGATCTGAGAAACCTCACAGTCCTGTCTTCCCATTTTGGCCCATGGCCATGTGCTCTGTGTCCGGAGGGCTGATAGTCGGATGGCACGGGATAGAGATCATGACACGTTGTGAGGATCAGCCGTTCTCATTGCCAAGTGGTTTCAAGGCAACGGTGTGGTACCTCACTACCAACCTCACCTCACTACCTCTGAGGATGTTTGCCAAAGATGTAGGCGAAACGTCAGGAAAGAATGCCTCTAGAACATGGCCATATAGCCCGAAAAAGCCTACAATAACCCAACGGTGTACTAATCATGAGGTTGCGACCATAGTTTTGTTCTTGCAGACCACTGGTGGTCCACGGAGCACAGGTTGGGAACTACTGCTTTAAAAAGAAGATTTAGAGAAAGAACGTTCCTTCCAATACAAGGAACACCCCAAAAACTTTACTCAGTGGGTTTCCATAGCTGAGCAGGGCTTCGAATCTGATCTCTGATACTCAAATCTCACCGGCTTTCATGCACTTGCATTATTATCTATGACAAAACCTTCCAATAACTCACTCCACAGGCTGCAGTTCTTGAGGAGAAATAACTTTTTTGCACTCCAGCTCCCATAATCCTCTATTCCTTCTCTAGTATTCAATGCCATGAAGACAGTTGAGGGCTGCTCAAGCTTGTTTTCTGCTTCCCTGGAGACTAGGAACAATGGCTTCAAACTACAAGAGAGGAGATTCCATCTGAACATGAGGAAGAACTTCCTGACTGTGAGAGCCATTCAGCAGTGGAACTCTCTGCCCCGGAGTGTGGTGGAGGCTCCTTCTTTGGAAGCTTTTAAACAGAGGCTGGATGGCCATCTGTCAGGGGTGATTTGAATGCAATATTCCTGCTTCTTGGCAGAATGGGGTTGGACTGGATGGCCCATGAGGTCTCTTCCAACTCTTTGATTCTATGCTATGATTCTATGGCATTGAATACTAGAGAAGGAATAACACACTTTCTGAGAAAAGACATTTCCCTCGCCTAACTAATTTCCCAAATATGCTGCCTATTAAACACATCTCTGGCATGGATTTTCTTTTTTTGCTCTTTTTCCTCTCTTTCAAAACATAAAACCAAGGCGTGCTTCATGGAAAGTCTTCAAAGCCATCAAAACAGTCGTGAAACACTGGGACGTTCAAAGGAGTGGATCTACTCCAGAACGTTAGTACTGTCTAAGCCAGGGGTCCTCAAACTAAGGCCCGGGGGCCAGATGTGGCCCTCCAAGGTCATTTACCCAGCCCTCGCTTAGGGTCAACCTAAGTCTGAAACGACTTGGAAGCACACAACAACAACAACAACAATCCTATCTCATCAGCCGAAAGCTGGCCCACACTTCCCATTGAAATACTCATAAGTTTGTGTTTGTTAAAATTGTTCTTCATTTTAATCATTTTATTGTTTTTAAGTGTTTTTTTGCACTGCAAATAAGATATGCGCAGTGTGCATAGAAATTCATGTATGCTTTTTTTTCAAATTATAATCCGGCCCTCCAACAGTTTGAGGGACTGTGACCTGGCCCTCTGTTTAAAAAGTTTGGGGACCCTTGGTCTAAGCATTCAGAAAACTCTCCCTGGAGAAGGAGGAGGGAAAGAAAGGGAACACACTCGCTTGCAAAAGGGCGCACATTCCCAACTTCTGTGGCCGTTCTATTCCCCGTTTTGGCCTTAGCAACAAGCGGGTGCTTGTTCTCAAAGACAGCTGCCTCGTCGTTCCCTTTCCAGCTCTCATTCATCTCCTTTCACCCCAACCTGCTTGAATGTCCCGTACTGGGTCAATCCCCAGGCATGTTTTCAAGCTTGTGGGTCCCTTTAAGCTGTACTTTCCCTTCCCCCTGCAGCCCCAAAACAGCCTGGAAAAAGGGTCACAGAGGAGGCATGCTTGCCAAGAGCAAGCTGCTGAACTTTTGTCCAAGTCTTCGGCTGATGTCACTTTGCTCCTGGAGAGAGCACAAAACCCTCCCTGTCTTGCTCTGCACTTGCTCCCTCGCTTAAACTAAACCCGCTCACTAGTACCAAACACTGATGGGTCTGGACCAAATTTGGCACAAATACCTGATACCCCAAAATCTGAATACTGATAGGGTTGGGGAGTTGTCATTTGGGAGTTGTAGTTGCTGGGATTTATAGTTCACCTACAATCAAAGAGCACTCTGAACCCAGCTGACAATGGAACTGCTAACATTGAATACTCCTGGGGGGGGGGCTGTTTTTGAATTCTGGGATTTTTAGTTCTCCAACACTCAGAGAGCACTCTGTACCAAACTGCTGATGGAACTAGTACACTCACCACACATACCCAACAAGTCAAACTTTGAATATTGGTGGGGTTGCGAGCAGGGCCGTAGCCAGAAAAAAAAGATCGGGAGGGGTTGAAAAGTTCAGGGAGGGTTTTGAAAATTTTGCGGGGGGGGGGGGGGGTTAAACCTGCCTCCTAGCTCACGCTGAAGCAAAGAGCACAGCAGGGGGCGGACCAGCCTTCAATAGCCTGCAGCTCCACCCCTGTCAACCACCTCCACCAAGTCTGGCCTCCTTAATGAGAGCATTCAACACACACACACCCAACTTGGTTGCTTCACTACATCAGCTATTGCTGCAAGTAATGACAGTGTGAATGAATTGTCAATATTTGCTTGAGATAGTGCTTGCAGTTCTGGAGGGACTTTTTTTGCATCTCATACACTTAGAATGGGGATTTGGTTAACCAGTTAAAATTCATGAGTAAACCAGTTTTTTTTTAACCTGAAAATTTTCGGGGGGGGGGGTTGAACCCCTAACACCCCTCCCCCTGGCTACAGGCCTGGTTGCGAGGGGACTAACCTCACACCTGTTCTCCCCTCCCCACTTGGAGTCTCAGAAACAGCTAAGATGCCGGCCAATCACAACAGGGCTTTTGGTGGAGGATTCGCCCTCTGTTTCAAAAAAAAACAAAGAGAAAGATAGGCGGAGAGATCTTCAGCCTTCTCTGCCTAAGACGATCAGAAATATGTGTTTTCAGAATGTCTTTCAGATGGAACCCCCTCCCTTTGCGACCCCCCCCCCAGGTCTCCTGACCCCAGGTTGAGAAATACTATTCTAACTGGTGACAGCAATTTAATATCAGAAGGGCCAGATATCAGGACATTTTCCAGCATTTTACATTGAGATGTTGGATATGAACCCAGGACTTCCTGCCAGCCTCCCATAGTTCAATGTTCCAGCCATTGTTGAACAAAAACCACTGTGACTGCAGGGGTGGGGTGGGGGTCCCATCTCTAATACAAACCACATGCAGATAAATCCGATCCAAGCCAACCCAACGCCCACCCGCCCCTAATTCCCTCACAGAACTCTCATGCAAGTTTCTTTCACATACGATTCCATCACATACAAGTAGGTTAATGTTTGGAAAATTTGGTACCACGCAGATGACATCTACAGTGTATACTCTACTTATGTCTGTACTTGAAGCTCCATTTGCAGCAAATGAACTAGGCTGATGAGAAAGGGGGCAAATGGGAGAAGGAAGGGGAAACCGGGACATTTCAACAGTGAGAAGGCAGAGGGTTAATAATAATCTGGATGAGCCACATCAGGACTGTTGGAGGGTATGATACCAGCCTTTCAAACAGCACCTCAACACAGTATGGGACATCGCCGTGGCTCTCTCGGCCATTCCGCCAAGGAGCCTCAATTCACAAAACCACAAATGGGACTATATTGAGAATATGACCCTCTATTATACACCCCCTCTATTTTTTTAGTCTTTGCAATACAAGGAACGTGACATTAGGAAAGCACTCACAGCAAAGCAACCGGGCAGGAAGTGATGTTTTGATGATGAGTGGATTTCAACGAAAACAATACAACCTTTGCCCCATGGAAAGGTGGAGGGTTTATGTTATTTGGAAACAGAGACAGCTAGGTATGATCTTGACGTGGGCTTCTTTTTTCTGTTAGCAGCAAGAGTCATATAGTAATAAGAAAAATTATAAAAACATTATCAACCCTACAACAAAATGCTGCGGTCATCCTGTACCTTGACCAAGGACCTGTACATTTGTTAGTAGAAGAGAGATGGTTTGAAACAGTTAAACAGCGTTGTTCTTTCTCACGTCTACATCCCAACAAAGAAAGCACGGGCCTCAACGTATCAACTGGAGTTTAAAATCCATCCTCCAATGGCAAAAAATAAAATAAAATAATAGCATAGGAAAAAAGAAAACCCAGCTCAGATGTCAACGTCATCTCTCCTCCCAACCCCTTTTTTCGGCTGAATTCTTCATACCGAGGAAGAAGAAAGGGGAAAATAAACCCACAAAGCCAGAATTCTTTTGTGTGCCTTATACAAAGCTGAAACTTCGACAACTCCAGGGCTGGAAGGCAGCCTCAGCCTGAGAAACATCTTTTTGCTCAGACATCTTGCAATTTGCCGCTGACTTGGCTTATCTTCCTTTTCAGCTGCCAGCTCAGGATCTAGGAGAAGGTGGGAGAAAGGGCACATTCATATTAAAGCTTAGTTGTTCAAAGCTTCAAGGAACAGTTTTGAAATATCTGCTTCCTCACTTGGCTAACAGCAAATACGAGGGTTATCTGGAAAGTAAGGTTACAAGGCACATAGCTCTCACGGTGAATTTTTGTGGGGGAAGTTGGTATCACTGCCATGCAGTGCGAAGCCAGCGGAAGTAGTGCCAGTCGTCAGTAGCTCATCAACTGGTGTTCGGTTAAGGTTAGAGGTGAGCATCCTCTTTCCGTTTCCCACCAAGTGCGAAGTTTGTGCTGTACGAGGGCTATCCGGAAAGTAAGGTTACAAGGCATGTAACCCTAACAGGGAATTTTCGTGGGGAAAATTGGTATCATAGAATCATAGAATCATAGAATCAAAGAGTTGGAAGAGACCTCATGGGCCATCCAGTCCAACCCCCTGCCAAGAAGCAGGAATATTGCATTCAAATCACCCCTGACAGATGGCCATCCAGCCTCTGGATGTGTAGTGGGAAACCAGCAAAAGCAAACGAGCAATGCCAGTCATTGGTAGCTCATCCACTGGCGTTGTGGTGAAGGTTAGAGATGAGTGTCCTCACTCTGTTTATTTATTTATTTCGAATATTTTTACCCCGCCCTTCTCAACACATAGGGCAGTGGTTCTCAACCTTTCTAATGCCACGACCCCTTAATACAGTTCTTCATGTTGTGGTGACCCCCAACCACAACCCAACATTGTTTATGTTGCTACTTCATAACTGTCACTTTGCCATTGTTATGAATTGTAATGTAAATATCTGATGTGTAGGATGTGTTTTCATTCATTAGACCAAACTTGGCACAAATACCCAATATGCCCAAATTTGAATATTGGTGGGGTTGTGGGGGAGATTGATTTTTGTCATTTGGGAGTTGTAGTTGCTGGGATTTATAGTTCACCTACAATCAAAGAGCATTTTGAATTCCACCAGTGATGGAATTGAACCAAACTTGGCACACATCACTCCCATGACCAACAGAAAATACTGGAAGGGTTTGACCTTGAGTTTTGGAGTTGTAGTTCACGTACATCCAGAGAGCACTGTGGATTCTAACAATGATGGAGCTGGAACCAAACTTCGCACGAATACTCAATATGCCCCAATGTGAACACTGGTGGAGTTTGGGGAAAATAGACCTTGACATTTGGGAGTTGTAGTTGCTGGGATTTATAGTTCACCTATAATCAAAGAGCATTCTGAACCCCACCAATGATAGAATTGTGCCAAACTTCCCACATAGAACCCCCATGACCAACAGAAAATACTGTGTTTTCTGATGGTCTTTGGCGACCATTTATTTTCTTTCAAACACTTTTACCCCGCCCTTCTCAACCCCTAGGGGGACTCAGGGTGGCTTACAATTGGCAACAATTCAATGCCGTCATAAAATACAATAGCAAAAATAACAATTAAAACCATGAACATTAAAATAAAAATTAAACAGTATACTTACGATCCATTTAGCTATTGCCAGTCTGGTGGCTATTTATCTAGCCATATACCTATGATAACTCCGCTTCACTTATCCAAATCCATTTCCAAGCCATAGTCAAATATTATCAATTGTCTTTTAACCTGATTGCCCGAAGGCCTGGTCCCACAACCACGATTTTACCTTCTTTCTGAAGGTGAGGAGGGATGATGATGATCTAATTTCCCCGGGAAGCATATTCCACAGGCGGGGGGCTACCACCGAGAAGGCCCTGTCCCTCATCCCTGCCCAAGTTTTATTAAAATATATCCATTCTTGTATTAAAAAATCTTGTAACCTTACTTTCCAGACATCCCTCGTATCTTTTCATTCAAGTTGAGTTTTACCGAACACTATTTTAATGTCACCAGGGGCTCTTTTCTTATTAGTGATCTACTGTTGTTCTAATTGCGGGAAAAATTACCAGTAAAGTACAGATCTCTAATCCAGGGTGTCTGAGGAAGCAGTCCAGGAAAGCTCATAACAAAACTAATAGTCTTAAGTGAGCCAGAAACGTCCTTTTTAATCCCACTTTTCTAGTGGGATAGTACAATATAGTTTATACACACACACACACACACACACACACTATAACTTCATTCTCTGTTTGCTTCTGACATGATAAATAAATAAATCATTTTCTTTTTCTACCAAAGCAAACTGACGTAGCTTGACAACTAAAATGGAGCCAAATGGAAAGGTCCTAACCTCACATTACCCATCGTGCCCTCACTGCACTTCTTTCGATGTTTCTTCCTCAACCGGCAACGGTCGTCTTCTGGCTTGGTGGTCTTCATCTGAAAGGCAGAGATGGACACAGGAATAGTGAAGCCATTCTGCAGCTCCGTGGGGCTGGCATTGTGTGGCTCTGACTGAATGAGAGATGGCAGAACCATCGTGGCGGTCGGGAAAAAGTTGCCAGAGGGTTAACTGGGAAGAGCTCCTGTATCCTTAATGTTTCTGCAGTAGAAGGCATCTCAGCAGGTATCTCTAGTTATCTGCTTGCATGGCAAGCAACTGCTGCTTTGGTCTTCACAACCGTTAAAGGCACAGGAGCCCTCTCCAGTTTTCTTGGGTAGGAACTTCTTAAATTGGACCTGCTTCTGCTGGTTAAGATGTATGGCAATTTTCCACCCTGTGCATTTCTGATGTCATAGATGGGGCTTCACTATCTAGTGATGCTGTATTAGAGATGTGTTATAGCTCCACTGATAGGTTGACATGATTTAGAGAGGATTGTGGCCTTTCCTGTGGCACAAAGTGATGAGCCCACAAGTCTGGGAAATTCGGTTCAGGGAATGGAAATCTGCTACAAAACAGGAGCTTTTTTGTTGAGTTCCAGGGCAAAAGAAGCAGATGGCGAAAACAGAAGAATGGCCTGCCTCAGGGGAGCATGCTTGCTCCATCCAAGTTCAACATTTACACAAATGACCAGCCACTGCCAGAAGGGACAGAGAGTTTCATCTATGCTGATGATTGTGCCATCACCGCTCAAGCAGGGAGCTTTGAGATGGTTGAACAGAAGCTCTCCGAAGCCCCAGGTGCTCTTACTGCCTATTACAGGGAAAATCCAGCTGATCCCTAACCCATCCCTAAAACACAGACATGTGCTTTTCACCTTAAGAACAGACAAGCATCCCGAGCTCTGAGGATTACCTGGGAAGGAATCCCACTGGAGGATTGCAGCACACCCAAATACCTGGGAGTCACTCTGGACTGTGCTCTGACCTACAAGAAGCACTGCCTGAACATCAAGCAAAAAGTGGGTGCTAGAAATAATATCATACAAAAGCTGACTGGCACAACCTGGGGATCACAACCAGACAAACTGAAGACATCTGCCCTTGCGCTATGCTACTCTGCTGCTGAGTATGCATGCCCAGTGTGGAACACATCTCACCACACATCTAGTGGATGTGGCTCTTAATGAGACATGCTGCATTATCACGGGTGTCTGCCCCCTACAGCACTGGAAAAACTACACTGTTTAGCCGGTATCGACCACCTGACATCTGCCGGGAAGTAGCAGCCAATAGACTGGTACAACCTGGGGATCACAACCAGACACAGTGATCCCTTGCACTATGCTGCTCTGCTGCTTTGTCTGGGAAATTCAGTTCTGGGAATGATTATTCTCTCTGTGAAAAAACTGGCTTGAAAAATGCAGGGCCTCAAGGGCATTCAGGGGAACAGCAGATAAGGAATTGAGTGAAGAGCTGAGTGATAAGGAGGGTTCCCAGGAGAAACCACCTCTATCTACGGAGATAAAAAAAAATTGATTACAAAAAAAGAGCCGGAAAAAGATTGTGTTGGTTGGAAAGATTATGTGGGAAAATTGGGGAGAAAATTCACAGGAGACGTAATGCTTTCATGGGTGTCTATTAAACAAGTTGTTACCTTAAGGGCAGTTCAGGCAATGCTGCGTTAGAGTGAGGCTCTAAGCCTGAGTTCTCTTGTTCCTGGTTCAAGTCAAGCCTTGGTTTTGGATTTTAATATCCTGGAAGTTTTCTATGTTCCTGTTCATGTATTCCTGTTCAAGTTTTTACTTACTTGTACCTTCTTGCTTGTGGACTTATGCTATACCTGTGGTTTCTGGCTGTTCCTTTGGAACCTTATGAAACATTTGGATTATGTTTGGTTATCACCTGTTACTAAACCTTTTTGGATGATATATCTTCCTTTCTTATTCCTGCTTTTTATGTGCTTTTTAATGTGTTTTACAATAAACTGTTTGTTTATATTCCTGGACTCTTGTGTGGTGCGGTGGTCATAAGGGTTTCCAGGCCTGGAATGAAACAAATCAGTCAAAGAATCTTCCTTTGCAACCGCTACAATGGAAGCAAGGAAGATAACACAAATACAGCGCATCCTTCTGAAAATCAGCATGTGACCTGATTTGTCAAGGACATGCCTGTAATGGACCAACAAAGGGTTTTAGCGTAGTCAAGATGGATTACAGGCATTTGGCATGCTGTGGGAAGCTAAAAAAAAAAAAAAGATAAAACAGTAGCAGTGTTAGATGCTGGTGGTCATCTTACCACACGAATGTCCTTCAACATCATCGAGCAGATTAGCCGTGGAAGCTGCTGTCCCCATCCTGAGCATAAGATTAAGGAGAAGAAAAAGCAAGACATGGGATGTTGGAGGCTTTCATGGCCAGAATCACTAGGTTGCTGTGAGTTTTTCAGGCTGTATGGCCATGTTCCAGAAGCATTCTCTCCTGACATTTCACCCACATCTATGACAGGCATCCTCAGAGGTTGTGAGGTCTGTTAGAAATGAGGCAAGTGAGGTTTATATATCTGTGGAATAATGTCCAGGATGGGAGAAAGAATTCTTGTTTGCTTGCAGCCAAGTTCTGAAGCTGCAAGGCCATTCAATGCTAATCAAGGTGCCAATTCCAACATTCACATTTGCCTCAAGCAGACAAGAGTTCTTTCTTCCACCCTGGACTTTCCACAGATAGATAAACCCCTCTTCCCTGAAATTTTTCCACATCCCATCAAAGTGGGCAAAACGTTAGAAGAGAATGCTCATATACATCCGTGACTGTCATTAGTTTTGCAAACTGACTGTGTTCTATGTGTTTAAAGAATGGTCTTAACCATGAATGCAAGATCTTTGGGTCTAATGTATTGTCGAAGGCTTTCATGGCCGGAATCACTGGGTTGTTGTAGGTTTTTCCGGGCTATATGGCCAAGTTCTAGAGGCATTCTCTCCTGACGTTTCACCTGCATCTATGGCAAGCATCCTCAGAGGTAATGAGGTCTATTGGAACTTGGAAAAAGGGTTTATATATCTGTGGAATGACCAGGGTGGAGCAAAGGACTCTTGTCTGTTGGAGCTAGGTGTGAATGGGTTGTTGTAGGTTTTTTCGGGCTATATGGCCATGTTCTAGAGACATTCTCTCCTAACGTTTCGCCTGCATCTATGGCAAGCATCCTCAGAGGTAGTGAATGTGAATGTTTCAACTGACCACCTTGATTAGCATTTGATGGCCTGGCAGTGTCTGGGGCAATCTTTTGTTGAGAGGTGATTAGATGTCCCTGATTGTTTACCCTCTGTAGTTTAGCTGTTGTAATTTTTGAGTTTTTTAATACTGGTAGCCAGATTTTGTTCATTTTCATGGTTTCCTCCTTTCTGTTGAAATTGTCCACACGCTTGTGGATTTCAATGGCTTCTCTGTGTAGTCTGACATGGTGGTTGTGAGAGTGATCCAGCATTTCTGTGTTTCTCAAATAATATGCTGTGTCCAGGTTGGTTCATCAGGTGCTCTGCTATGGCTGACTTCTTTGGGTCTTTTTGCCCAGAAAGGCAACGTACACAGTTCTCAAATAAAAAAAATACTGCAGAGGCAACTGGGTTTCACAGAAGAATTTCCACATCCCAAGGCATCACTGTAATTATGATTTATAAAGCACACCATTACTAGGGAGTCCTGAACAGAACCTGACCCTGCAAAGTTATTTATTTAGGCTCCAACTCCCAGAATCCCCAACCAATCTGAACAAAAGGGTGGCTAGATGCGAGTGTGGACATACACTTAGATCGAAGAAACCTCTGAACACAAACTCAGTGGAGGAATGCGTTTTCAGTGCCGATCCCCCGCAATCCTTATGAGCTCAATTTCAGAACAAAAGCTGAAAGGCTTTTTGTTGTGTTTTTCATGTAACTAATATCGCTGGGAGCATGAAACCAGAGCAGGTCTGCTGCCAACCTGCAATCTGGCAGGAGATCTCAATCTAGATTAAAGTGAGGAAGCAACAAGGAAAGGAAATCCATCCCCATTACATTTTCCAATCTGCCCTGCAAACAAGTCTCCTGAGCAAACGAATGTCAGCACAATTTGGGAAAGTGCTAGACATTGAGAAACTGGTATTATGATATGGAAGGATACACCTGATGCTTTAACAGCTGTTTTCTTTTCGACTTCCTCATTTTGGTCTTCTCTGAGAAAGCTCTGGCAAGCTCAAAGAGTTTCTTGCGTGTTGCTGAAAGAAATAAAAGGACAGGCATTTGAAAGGAAAGAATGGGGACAATTTAAGGAAAATATCTACCTAGGGCAGCAGTTCTCAACCTGAGGGTCGTGACCCCCAGGGGGGTCGCCTGGCCATTTCGGAGGGGTCGCGAGGCTGCCTCCGTTGGCCCCGCCCCGAGGGCTCCTTCACGCGAGTCCTGGCCTCGTGCAAAGCCCGCCTCACCTGCCGCGCACTCTCACCGTCCGGCAAGGGTGCGGCGAGGGGTCCTCGGAGCGAGGCCTGGTCTCGCGCAAAGCCCCCTTGCCCGCCTTGCACTTTCGCCATCCGGCAGGGCGCGAGGAGGGCGAGGGGTCGTTGGCGCAAGGTCCTTGGCGCAAGGCCTTGCGCTTTCACTGTCCAGGTTCAGAGTGCTCTCCAAATGTAGGTGAACTACATCTCCCCTAACTCAGTTTCAATTCCTCCCAAACCGCTCCAGTATTTTCTGTTCTTCATGGGAGTTCTGTATGCCAAGTTTGGTCCCGATCTGTCATTCATGGGGGTCTTGGCTGTGGAAGTCAGAGCTGAATTGGTCGGAGGTACTGCAAATACCATCATCTGTTGGTATTTGCAGTACCTCCGCCGGAGTCAGAGCTGAATTGGTTGAAGGTACTGCAAATACGATCAACTGTTGTCCATACTCCCCCAAACATATTGTTTTTGTGATTAATCACTATGTATTAATTATGTTCAATTTATGACAATGAAATTTATGACATCCTGCATATCAGATATTTACATTACAATTCATAAAATTACAGTTACGAAATAGCAACAAAAATAATTTTATGGTCATACAACATGAGGAACTGTATTTAGGGGTCATAGCATTAGAAAGGTTGAGAACCACTGATAGGAGGAATTTTATTGATTAGGCCAAATCACAATACCAAACCAAACAACAAGGCTTGATAAGACTTGATTGTACTATATGTAGTAAGTTAAAATAAGACAGTCATAACAATACAGTAAATATGATAAGATAAGTATTGGCTCTCCCTCCCAATTTGGTGTCGTCTGCAAACTTGATGATCATGCCTTCTAGCCCTTCATCTAAGTCATTAATAAAGATCTTGAACAGGACCGGGCCCAGGCTAGGCAAAACTACGGTGAGGTGGATCTGTAATTGGTTAAGTGGACGAACCCAGAGAGTGCTCACTAATGCTTCCTCTTCATCTTGGAAAGAAGGACGAGCGGAGTGCCGCAGGGTTCCGTCCTGGGCCCGGTCCTGTTCAACATCTTTATTAATGACTTAGATGAAGGGCTAGTAGGCAGGATCATCAAGCTTGCAGATGACACCAAATTGGGAGGGATAGCCAATACTCAGAGGACAGGAGCAGAATTCAAAACGATCTTGACAGATTAGAGAGATGGGCCAAAACTAACAAAATGAAGTTCAACAGTGACAAATGCAAGATACTCCACTTTGGCAGAAAAAATGAAAAGCAAAGATACAGAATGGGGGACAATGCCTGGCTCGAGAGCAGTACGTGTGAAAAAGATCTTGGAGTCCTCGTGGACAACAAGTTAAACATGAGCCAACAATGTGATGTGGCGGCAAAAAAAGCCAATGGGATTTTGGCCTGCATCAATAGGAGTATGGTGTCTAGGTCCAGGGAAGTTATGCTACCCCTCTATTCTGCCTTGGTTAGACCACACCTGGAATACTGTGTCCAATTCTGGGCACCACAATTGAAGAGAGATATTGACAAGCTGGAATGTGTCCAGAGGAGGGCGACTAAAATGATCAAGGGTCTGGAGAACAAGCCCTATGAGGAGCGGCTTAAAGAGCTGGGCATGTTTAGCCTGAAGAAGAGAAGGCTGAGAGGAGACATGATAGCCATGTATAAATATGTGAGAGGAAGTCACAGGGATGAGGGATGCTTCCCTGGAGACTAGAACACGGAACAATGGCTTCAAAATACAAGAAAGGAGATTCCATCTGAACATTAGGAAGAACTTCCTGACTGTGAGAGCCGTTCAGCAGTGGAACTCTCTGCCCCGGAGTGTGGTGGAGGCTCCTTCTTTGGAAGCTTTTAAGCAGAGGCTGGATGGCCATTTGTCAGGAGTGATTTGAATGCAATATTCCTGCTTCTTGGCAGGGGGTTGGACTGGATGGCCCATGAGGTCTCTTCCAACTCTTTGATTCTATGATTCTATAAAACGGATGAAACTTAGTATATACATCAGTATAATATCTATCTATGCTTTCATGTCCAAGAGCCCTGCCAATGTCCTCCACAAACACCATCCTGCCCACAACCCAAGTGAAGGCTTTCATGCAGGGGCAATTTCATCCTAGATTTTATGTGTTTCCTCCACCACAGGCATCCCAATGTTTCTGACTCTCTCCTTTGGTGTGGAATTTGCATGACCCCACCCACTGCCACTCCCTTAACCCTTTCCTATCCTTTCCTATTGCGTACAGCAAATAGAGTGGAATTGATCAGTAACTGAACATACGGGAGGAGTTTTGGGGGACTGACTCCACATGATGGATGTGCTGTCGCACACTGGGCCTGAAATAATGTCTGTTTACAGGATGTGCTCTCTGTATGCCCAACGGGATGCCGGGGTGCCTCAGCTGAAGGGCCCCTTAGATTTCCCAACACAAAGTTCTATTGAGGCTCAAAATAAGTTCAACAATGTTCTTTATTTGGGCTTAAATCTTCAAACTAATGAATTAAACATTTTATAACCTTGGAAAACCGGTAGCTTCCTCAATCTGCCATCAAGGACAGGCAACTGGTGGTAAACTATTCCCTTCTTCCTTAGGGAAATCTTCTGACCCCTCCTTGGGCAATCTTTCTTTACCTTGTTGGCGTGAGGCCCCTACTCCCGGCTCCAAGCTACTTTATGGATAGCCCGAGTGGTCCCTTACCAGACAAGATTTCTGTAGATCTGCCAAGCTGAAAGGTGTCCTTTAGTTTTACTCCACGAAGGCTGTAGGAACTGTCCTGTGGCCCCAGCAAAGGCTGGCTGTATTCCCCCAGCAAAGCTGTGGAACTATTCCTTTACTCCCCCAGCAGAGCTGTGAGTAGTGAAGCCTTTGTGCAGGTGGGATAGAGAAACCCACACATCCTGCTGTTAGGCTCCAAACAGTGAGACTGAACAAAAGTCCTCCTTTGCCTCCAAAACCCTGGGAAAAGGGGCAGGTCTAAAGACTCTAACGATGATTGCCAGGTTGCTGCCCTGTGGCTGCAACCTGGGGAAGCTACCTGGGGATTGCAAAATGTGTGGCTTAAATAAATTCATACAAACTAGCAGTGCAAGAAAAAGAGGTTCAAATCTCCTGGCACTGCCATGCCAGCACAATGGAAGTTATAGTTCACCCTGCATCAAGACAGAGCACTGTGATCCCCCATCAACATTGGACCTGGACCACATGTGGCACACAGAAACCCCATGACTAGTGAAAAATACTGAAGAGATTTGGAGGAATTCATCTTGATATACAGGAGTTGTAGGTACTGGGATTTATGAGAAATTTGTATGACCCCACCCACTGCCTCTCTCTTAACCCTTTCCTATTATTTTCTATGGCACACGGCAAACAGAGGAATTGATCAGCACCAGAACACACTAGAGAGGTTTGGGGAGAATTCATCATGATTTATAGGAGTTGTAGGTACTGGGATTTATAGTTTAATAATAATAATAATCTACATAAATAAAAATGTAATGTTCGTTTGTGGGATTAACATAACTCAAAAACCACTGGACGAATTGACACCAAATTTGACACAAGACATCTAACAACCCAATGTATGTCCTTCACTCAAAAAATTGATTTTGTCATTTGGGAGTTGTAGTTGCTGGGATTTATAGTTCACCTACAATCAAAGAGCATTTTGAACTCCACCAACGATGGAACTGAACCAAACTTGGCACACTGTTCTCCCATGACCAAGAGAAAATACTGGAAGAGTTTGGTGGGCAGTGTTCTTTGGTTTTGGAGTTGTAGTTTACCTACATCCAGAGATCACTGTGGACTCAAACAATGATGGATCTGGACCAAACTCTACACGAATACTCAATATGTCCAAATGTGAACACTAGTGGAGTTTGGGGAAAATAGAATCTTCACATTTGAGAGTTGTAGTTGCTGGGATGTATAGTTCAGATTGGCAGGGGCGAAAGAAGGGCCTCCCCAGAAGATCGTAGGGCCCAGGTTGGTTCATGGAGAGAGATACGGTCATGAAGGTAGTATACTTGCAATCTAAAAACACTTTGAACCCCACCAATGATAGACCTGGAACTAACTTGGCACACAGAACTCTCATGACCTGGAGGAATATACTGGAGGTCTTTGGGTGGATTTATAGGAATTGTAGTTCAGCTACATCCAGAGAGCACTGTGAACCCAAACAATAATGAATCTGGACCAAACTTAGCACACATACCTGATATGTCTGAATTGGAATACTACTGGGTTTTGGGGGGAGTTGTAGGTACTGGGATTTGTAGTTCACTTGCAATCAAAGAGCACTCTGAACCCCACCAAGTAGGGAATTGGACCAAACTTGAAACACAGAACTCCCATGACTAGCCAAAAATACTGGAGGTCTTTGGCAAAAATTCACCTTGATTTGGGAGGGTTGTAGTTCACCTACATCCAGCGAGCACTGTGAACCCAAAAGCTGATGAATCTGGACCAAACTTGGCACACATATCTGGTATGCCCAAATTTGATTATTGGAGGGGTTTGGGAGAAATTGAACTTGAGTTTTAGCCGTGGTAGTTCACCTACAACCAGCAAAATTGTGACCCCCACCAATGATGGACCTGAATCAAACTTGGCACACAAAACCCTCATGACCAACTGAATATACTGGAGGAATTTGAGGGGAATTGACTTTCATTTCTGGGTGTTGTAGCTCACCTACATCAGGAGATACTGTCATCACCACCGAGAATAGACCAGAACCAAACTTGGAACACAGTACATGACCAACTGAATGTACTGGAGGGGTTGAGGGAACTGACTCACCATGGGGAGAGTTATAGTTTACCCTGCAGCCAGAGTGCACCTGGACCCCACTGATGATGCATCTAGCAAACTTTCTCAACACGACAAACTAAGTACTGATGCAGTTCAGAGGATTAACCTGGCATGATGTGAGTTGTAGTTCACCCACAACCTTAAACAGAATTTAAATATATGAAATAAAGACACAGCATGTCATGTTCTCATGCTATTGTTGTTGTCGTCATTTGACTTCAGGTCCCTGTCTTCCTCTGAGGCTAAGAGGGTGAGACTTGCCCAAGGGCACCCAATGGTTAGGCGGGGATTTGAACCCTGACCTCCCAGAGCCATACACTCCAACAAAGGGACAGTCACAGCTTGACCGGTAAACCCCATTGCAGCCCAAGATGAAGATCCCATCAGTAACAACTCACATTTTCCCATGTGTTTCAATTTGTCCCTGAATAAGGCATCTTCGGAGACAGCACCACTGGAGACGCCGGTTAAGGAGCGAACGACGTCGTCTAGAAAAGCAAAACATGTTGGATATGTTTGGACTGCAGCTCCCATTATCCTTCACCAATGAAGGACAAGATGACCGTCACCTCAATTAAAAATCTCCCCATAGTGTAATTTACTGAAATACCTATCAGACCCTGAAGACTACCAGCTTAAAACCAAAAAGGTATTATGACCTATGGTTATAAGCAAATTTTCAGAAATATTAAAAATTAACTAGGTATTTTAAACTACAAAAATGTGAGTTAAGCACTGAAAGGGTTAAATGTATGCAATGACTCTGCAAACGCTACAGTTCAATATAAGCAGGTGTGTCTGTAGCTTAGAAGCCCTCAGTGTTAGTCAGCCTCAGTGAGAGAAGGTCAGTGTTAGTTCGCCTCATTATGAGAGAGGCATCTATCTGAGAGAGATCTCAGTCTGAGAAAGGCCTCAGTGGGAGAAAGCCCTCAGTCTGAGGTAGACCTCAGTGTTAGTACGCTTCAGTCTGAGGTAGCCCTCAGAGTGAGAGAAACCTCTGTGTGAGGGAGGCCTCAGTGTGAGATGGTCTCAGTGTTAGTTTGCCTCAGTGTAAGAGAGGCCTCAGTGTGAGAGAGCCTCCGTGTTAGTAGGCCTCAGTCTGAGGGAGGCCTCAGTATGTTAGTAGGCCTCAGTCTGAGGTAGCCCTCAAAGTGAGAGAAGCCTCTGTGTGAGGGAGGCCACATTCTGAGGTAGACCTCAGTGTTAGTAGGCCGCAGTATGAGAAGGCCTTGTGTGTGAAGCTCCAGTGTGAAGATTGAACTTTATTTGTGTTATGGCAACCTTGTTTTTGTAAATAGTGCAACCATATTATTTTGCTATAAAGAAAAGCCTTTTATGGAAGAGTCTGTGTGTTTTTGTTCTTTTTATCACTTTGGGCTACTGGTGCTGGGTCACGCTGCTGCTAAATAACTTACTCTGCTATACGTTTATGAAGAGGGTCTTTTGTTAATAAGCCCACTCTCCCATTGTCCGATAGAGAGGCTGAGCACACTTGCCCAACACAAATACCATGTGAACTGAACATTATCCCCCACCATTGTTGATGCCAATTAGGGCTGGCCAGAATGTAGGGCCATAAGCTGCCCTATTCTACTCCAAAAATATGTTTTTCTCCTTGTCTCCATACAAATATAACCAGAAGCCATGAAGTGAAGGAAGGACGCCTTCTTGCAGTGCGTCGCATCAGATGGAGGACCAGCATCATATTCATTATCCTTTTCTATCCCTGCCGGGGAAGCTTAACACTTAGTTGTGTTGGTAAAATTTGTACAGAAAGAGAGGCCTCGGTGTGAGAGAGCCTCCGTGTTAGTAGGCATCAGTCTGAGGTAGCCTTCAAAGTGAGAGAACCCTCTGTGTGAGGCCTCAGTGTGAGATGGTTTCAGTGTTAGTTTGCCTCAGTGTAAGAAAGGCCTCAGTGTGAGAGAGCCTCCGTGTTAGAGCCGCCGCAAACTAGGCTCCTGTGGGAGCAAACCTTGCCAGCACGTCCCTGACGTCATGAGACTGCGCCTCTCTCTCCGCCCCTTTCTCCGCCTCTTTCTCTGTGCCAGCGTGGTTTTTCCTTTGCTAGGGCAACATTGCCAGCGTATTCTCTCAGTTGAATTCTGCCAACTGAGAGAGTACGCTGGCAATGCTACCCTAGCAAAGGAAAAACCACGCTGGCACGGAGAAAGGGGCAGAGAAAAGGGCGGGGCGAGAGGCGGAGTCTCATGACGTCAGGGACGTGCTGGCAAGGTTTGCTCCCGCAGGAGCCTAGTTTGCGACGGGTCTAAGTAGGCATCAGTCTGAGGGAGGCCTAAGTGTGTTAGTAGGCCTCAGTCTGAGGTAGCCCTCAGAGTGAGGGAAGCCTCTGTGTGAGGGAAGCCTCATTCTGAGGTAGACCTCAGTATTAGTAGGCCGCAGAACTGGACATTGTTTTAAGGAATATCTATTGAAGTATGTTTTATTATAATGGTTGATTTTACTGTTGCTAATGTTTTTATATTGTATATTGTAATCGTGTCCTTGGTGGCATTGAACTCTTGCTTTGTGAACCGCCTCAAGTCGCCGGAAGGCTGAGAGGGGTGGCATAGAAATGTACGAAATAAATAAATATATAAATTTGCCACTGCCTTCCTCTGGGGCTGAGATAGTGTGCCTTGCCCTAAGTTATCCAGTTGGTTTTCAGGGCCGAGCGAGGATTTAGACTCTGGTCTCCCAAAACTGAGAGAAAAAGTAACTGTTCTCCATTTTTGTCCACTCTTCATGTTGCAGAATTTGTGGCCTTAAGGACTACAAACTTGATTTTTTCAAAGAGGATTTGAAGAAGAGAGATGCTTAGAAGGTTTGAATCAAAGGTGCTTCTATGTAAATGTGGAAGACCCTCTTCGACCGCCTACTAAAGCTCTTTCGAAGACTCTCCATGTTTTGTCCCTGTGGCTATCCCTAGGAAGCGTTGCTGCTCTAATATCAGGCCCAGCCCCTTCCGCAGTATTAATACCAGGATATCAAACGAGGGAGACTCTAATTCCCTCTTCTGAGGCTGCTGCTTGGCTCGGCAGCAAAGGTTAAGCAGGATTATGGACTCATTCCGCCAGCAAGGCAATATCGCCTTCGTTCAAAGGCTAAAAGGGAAAGAAGAGCTTGCATCTGCGGCCGTTTGCAATTCAGCCTCTGCTTCTTGCACGGCCATGGCAGATCGAGAGCGGAAAAAGCATATTCATTTTAGCTTTTCAGCCAAAGAACGAGTTTGATCTCTTAGAATAGGGATGCAAAACTGCGCAGGACTCCTGTATCAGTTCATCCATAGGTTAGGGGTTCTCAAGTAGCTGGGGTATTTTTCTATGCTAGAAATAATAATAATAATAATAATAATAATAATAATTATTATTATTATTATTATTATTATTATAACTTTATTTGTACCCCGCTAGCATCTCCCGAAGGACTCGATGCGGCTTACATAGGCCAAGGCCTCAAAACACAATACAACAATACAATACCTAGAGCAAATTAAAAACAGTTAAGCAGAATAAACAACAGCAATAACAATACATCGAGACATCAAGACACTATAAAACTGGGCCAGGCCAGAGTAATGGGTACAAGATTAAAAGTGCTGATGTGGCAGGAGGTATGTAGGATTATAAAGTAAGTGCAGTGTGCGGTGTGCAGTGATCTTAGTTCTACTAAAGTGCTTCTAGGACTTGGTATTGGAGGTTCCTAATCTGAAAAGGCACATCGGAACAGCCAGGTCTTCAAATTCTTTCTGAAGACTGCCAGCGAAGGGGCCTGTCTAAGATCTTTTGGGAGGGCGTTCCAGAGTCGGGGGGCCACCACAGAAAAGGCCCTGTCTCGAGTCCCCACGAAGCGCGCTTGCGACGCGGGTGGGATCACGAGCAGGGCCTCTCCAGATGACCGAAGTGAACGTGTGGGTTCGTAGATGGAGATGCGGTCACGCAGGTAGGGTGGTCCCAAACCGTTCAGGGCTTTGTAGGTAAGCACCTGCACCTTAAATTGGGCTCGGAAAATAAACGGCAGCCAGTGGAGCTCCTTGAACAGGAGGGTTGACCTCTCTCTGTAATGAGCCCCAGTTAACATCCTGGCTGCTGCCCGTTGGACCAGTTGGAATTTCCAAGCCGTTTTCAAGGGCAGCCCTACGTAGAGCGCATTGCAGTAGTCCAATCTAGAGGTGACCAAGGCATGGACCACCCCGGCCAGATCAGCCTTCGCGAGGTACGGTCGCAGCTGGCGCACAAGTCTCAATTGTGCAAAAGCCCTCCCGGACACCGCCGACGCCTGAGCCTCAAGCGTGAGTGATGAGTCCAAGAGGACTCCCAAACTGCGGACCTGTGGCTTCAGGGGGAGTGTAACCCCATCAAACACAGGTTGCCACCCTATACCCCGATCCGGTTTGCGATCGACCAGGAGGACCTCTGTCTTGTCAGGATTGATCTTCAGCTTGTTCCTCCTCATCCAGATGGACACAGCGGCCAGGCACTCGTCCAGCACCCGAGAGGCCTCCTTGGAATTGGGTGGAAATGAGTAGTAGAGTTGCGTGTCATCTGCGTAGAGGTGGCACCCAACTCCAAAACCCCGGATGACCTCTCCCAGCGGTTTGATGTAGATGTTAAAAAGCATGGGAGACAGAATAGAGCCTTGCGGGACCCCACAGGTCAAAGACCAGGGGTCCGAGCAGGCGTCTCCCAGCTTCACCATCTGGGATCGACCCTCCAGGAAGGACCGGAGCCACAAACCGTGCCCCTGAGACCCATCCCAGAGAGTCGTCCCAGAAGGATACCATGATCGATGGTATCGAAAGCCGCTGAGATGTCCAAGAGAACCAACAGAGTCACACTCCCCCTGTCCAGCTCTCTACGGAGGTCATCCACCAAGGCGACCAAGGCTGTCTCGGTGCCGTGACCAGGCCTGAAACCAGACTGTGACTGATCTAGGTAGTTGATGTCATCCAAAAAGCCCTGGAGCTGGGAGGTGACCACCCGCTCCAGCACCTTACCCAAAAAAGGGAGGTTGGAGATCGGCCTGTAATAATACTTTATTTATACCCCGCTCCATCTCTCCCAGGGGGACTCGGTGCGGCTTTCATGAGGCCACGCCCATCAATACAGTATACACAATATAATGCAAAAACATAATAGCACCAAAAAATTACATAAAATGCAAAAACAACAGAATAATAACAATATAAAATCAAACATTAAAAACACAGAAGATTTCACTGGGCAAGGGTAAAACTGAAGGGTAAAATTTTTAAAACACTGGGAGATAGGACAATATAAGTTATAAGGAGGAGGATCTGGGAATGAGGAGGATTTAATTGCACGAACCATTAAAAAAAGTGTTTCTAAGGACATTTTGTGCAAAGTTTGGTCAGGGAGTAGCTTACATTCAGAGTAAGATACCAAACACTGTGAAGTTGTGTTGTTGAAGGATTTCATGGCCAGAATCACTGGGTTGCTGTGAGTTTTCCTGGCTGTCTGGCCATGTTCCAGAAGCATTATTTCCTGTCATTATGCCCACATCTATGGCAGGCATCCTCAGAGGTTGTGAGATTTGTTGGAAACTAGGCAAGTAAGATTTATATATCTGTGGAATGTCCAGGGTGAGAAGAAGGAACTCTTGTCTGCTTGAGGCAAGGGTGAATATTGCAGTTGGCTACTTTAATTAGCATTGAATGGCCTTGCAGCTTCAAAGCCTGGCTGCTTCCTGCCTGGGGAAATCCTTTGTTGGGAGGTGTTAGCTGGCCCTGATTGATTCTTGCCTGGATTTCCCCTGTTTTTTGAATGTTCCTCTTTATTTACACCTCTATTATTTATTTATTTATTTATTTATTTATTTACAGTATTTGTATACTGCTTTTCTCACCCCGAGGGGGACTCAAAGCGGTTTACACATAAGTAATGGCAAAAATTCAATGCCAGTACAAACAATTACAATTACACACTACAGTTAGACATAAATTAAATTTAAAAATACATCCATGAGCAATAAAACAATAATTAAAACAATAAATCACCGTTCCAGTCGTTGTCTTTCCAAAATGCTGCATACATTTACTTCTACTACCCAAAGGTCTGGTCCCAAAACCATGATTTTAATTTTTTTCTAAAAGCCAGGAGGGAGGGAGCAGATCTTACCTCATTTGGGTAAGTGTGTTCCATAGGCAGGGGGCCACAGCCGAGAAGGCCCTGTCTCTCTCTCCACCAGGCGCATCTGTGCTGTTGACGGGAGCGAGAGCAGGGCCTCCCCGGATGATCTTAGATTACGAAGTAGAACGTAGGGAGATGTGTTCGGACAAGTAAGCTGGGCCAGAACCGTATAGAGCTTTATAGGTCAAAACCAGCACTTTGAATTGGGCTCAGAGATGGACCAGCAGCCAGTGGAGCTGGCATAACAAGGGGGTGGTATGCTCCCTGTATGCCGCCCCAGTTAGTAATCTGGCTGCCGCCCGTTGGACTAGCTGAAGTTTCCAAACCGTCTTCAAAGGCAGCCCCACGTAGAGCGCGTTGCAGTAATCTATTCGGGATGTAACCAGAGCGTGGACCACCGTGGCCAGATCAGACTTCCCAAGGTACGGGCGCAGCTGGTGCATGAGTTTTAACTGTGCAAAAGCTCCCCTGGCCACCGCCGAAACCTGGGGTTCCAGGCTCAGTGATGAATCCAGGATCACTCCCAAGCTGCGAACCTGCGTCTTCAGGGGGAGTGTAACCCCATCCAACACAGGCTGTAACCCTATGCCCTGTTCGGCCTTTCGACTGACCAGGAGGACCTCTGTCTTGTCTGGATTCAATTTCAATTTGTTAGCCCTCATCCAGTCCGACACAGCAGCCAAGCACCAGTTCAAGGTCTGAACAGCCTCCTTAGTAACAGGTGGGAAGGAGTGACAGATTTGGACGTCATCTGCATACAGATAACACCTTACTCCGAAACTCCGGATGATCTCCCCCAGCGGCTTCATGTAGATGTTAAATAACATCGGGGACAGCACTGAACCCTGAGGGACTCCACAAGACAATGGTGGTGGAGCCGAACAGGTGTAACACCTTCTGAGACCGACCCTCCAGGAAGGACTGAAGTCTCTGCAGAGCAGTACCTCCAAGTCCCATTTCTGCGAGGCGTCCCAGAAGGATGAAAGGGTGAGAAGGGTGGCATATAAATATCGTAGATAAATAAATAAATAAAATAAAGAGCAATATTCAGAAAACAGGAGAATTCCAGACAAGAATTAATCAGGGCCAGATAACACCTCCCAACAAAGGATCCCCTTAGGCAGCAACCAGCCAGGCTTTGAAGCTGCAAGGCAATTAAATTCTAATCAAGCTGTCCAATTGCAACATTCTCACTTGCCTCCAACAGGCAAGAGTTCTTTCTCCCACCCTGGACATTCCACAGGTACATAAATCTCCCTTGCCTAGTTTCCAACAGAACTCAGAGGATGACTGTCATAGATGTGGGAAAAATGCCAGAAGAGAATGCTTCTGGAACATGGCCAAACAGCTCGGAAAACTTACAGCAACCCACTGTGAAGTTGCCTAAAAATACAATTGCACTAGTTGATAACTAGTTTTTAAAATTTTGGTTGTGTTTTTAAATACATTACAACTGTACCCTCGGTTCGCTTCTGACACGATAAGTAAATAAGTTGATAATTAATTCAACAACACCAAAAAATTATTGGTGTCTTGGTTGTTCCTTGGGTGCTTTGGGGCACTGGTTTGAAATATTACATTGGATAGACTGCACCACCTCTAGGTTCTTCGATATGGTTATCTTGGCAAGCAGATGGCAACTGGTAATTGGCTCTGTTCTGTATCTCAAACACTAGAGCTGATGGAGGAAAACTGATGCCAGTTTTGGAATTAGCAGGTCAAATACACCCAGAAACAGGGCTAACATGTGTGTTGGCCAGTGAGTCCTTGAGAATGAATCAGTAGGAGAACAGGGAATTTAAATATTTCCCTTTTTTGCTGCAATCGTGAGAAAAATCCTGGTGATACAACAACTACACACCCAGTTTTTTTGCTGGTGTGGAAATTCGACATTCCCCTTAAGAAGACAAGCGGCAGGGATTCCCAACAGTGGAGTTAGAAACATGACTTACCAGATATTACAGAGGAAAAGCAGACATCACTGCTGACAGCCACACTGTTCATCTTGGATTTCTTTGACTCGTACCGCAAGCGATCTTGAAGAGAACGAAAAACGCACACATACAAACATGATAAATTGATGAGCCATCTATCAACATAGGCTCTGAGAAAAATAAATAAGGGTTAGAAGAAACTAGTCAAGAGCAAAAACAGTAATAGTAGCATCTCTATGATCTAACAGGGTTGAGAAACTATGTTTATATCACTGACCTCACTACCTCTGAGGATGCTTGCCATAGATGCAGGTGAAACGTCAGGAGAGAATGCCTCTAGAATATGGCCATATAGCCCGAAAAAACCTACAACAGCCCTATGTTTATATTGTGCTGTCGCATGTCTGTTTACAGGACATGCTCTCTGTATGCCCAAAGGGATGGTAGGGTGCCTCAGCTGAAGGGCCCTTTAGATTTCCCAACACAGAGTTCAATTGAGGCTCGAGATAAGTTCAACAAAGTTCTTGGGCTTAAATCTTCAAACAAATGAATTAAATGCTTTATAACCTTGGAAACCCGGTAGCTTCCTCAATCTGCCAACAAGCGGCAGGCAACTGGTGGTAAACTGTTCCTTTCTTCCTTAGGGAAATCCTTTGACTCCTCCCTGGGCAATCTCTCTTTACCTTGCTGGTGTGAGGCCCCTATTCCCGGCTCCAAGATGCTTTATGGATAGCCCAAGTGGTCCCTTACCAGGCAAGGTTCTTGTAGATCTGCCAAGCTGAAAGGTGTCCTTTAGTTTCTCCACGAAGGCTGTAGGAACTATTTCTTGCTCCCCAGCAAAAGCTGTGGATCCTTTCCTTTTTCCCCAGCAAAGCTGTGAGAAATGAAGCCTTTGTGCAGGTGGGAAAGAGAGACCCACACGTCCTTCTGTTAGGCTTCCAACAGTGAGACTGAACAAAGTCCTCCTTTCCCTCCAAAACCCTGGGGAAAAGGGCGGGTCTAAAGATTCTAATGATGATTGGCAGGTAGCTGGACCTACGACTGCAACCTGGGGGAAGTTACCTGATTCCAAAAAGCATGGCTTAAATAAATTCATGCAAACTAGCAGTGCAAGAAAAGGAATTCTTATTATGTGCAGTTAATGTAGTTTGGCACTAATTTCATTGCCATGGCTCAATGCTATGGAATCCTGGGAGCTGTAGTTTGGTGAAGCATCAACACTAAAGACCTGATATAGCCGCAGCTCCTGGTAGGTAGGTCTAGTTAGGCTTCAAACTATAGTTTGCACTGTTTTAAGACAGATCCTTGCATTTCTGAACAGTTTAAACTTGTTCTGTGCCTTCAAATTGTTTCTGGCTTATGGTGACCGTATCATAGGTTTTTCGGAGGCTGAAAGTATATGATTTACCCCATGACTGAGTGGGGATTGACACTCATGGTCCAACTCTGAAACCATTATGCCAACTGGCTCAACCGTGGCAGCCCATTATGACAGAGATCCGAATAAAGGTTCCAAATAAAAGGGGACATTCTGAAATTACCTCTTTCAAGGGCCAGGAGAAAATCCCTGTTCCTTTGAAGTTCCTTCATGAACTCCTCATTCTGGAGGAAGAGCGCGATCCGTTCATCTTCGAGATACTGCTTCCATTTCCTCTCCTGGTCCAAAGAGCCTTGGGTCCTTTGACTTCCTGGGCTTTTGGTGGTTTGATGGCCGCCCTGAGAATTCTGGAGAAGGCATTTGGGAATGAAGATAAAGCCATTGACTAGGAGTGGCAAACAGAAATGGCCACTTCACGTATGAGATGACAGCAAAGCTTTCTGAATGCTGAGCACAAAGCTAAGACCAGTGTTTCTCAACCTTCCTAATGTCGCGACCCCTTAATACAGTTCCTCATGTTGTGGTGACCCCCAATCATAACATTATTTTCGTTGCTACTTCATAACTGTAATTTTGCTGCTCTTATGAATCATAGTGTAAATACCCGATATGCAGGATGTATTTTCATTCACCCAATAAGCTCAAATTTGAATATTTGTGGGGTCAAAGAAATTGATTTTGTCATTTGGGAGTTGTAGTTGCTGGGATTTATAGTACACCTACAATCAAAGAGCATTCTGAACTCCACCAATGATGGAATTGAACCAAACGTGGCACACAAAACTCCCATGGCCAACAGAAAATACTGAGAGGGTTTTGTGGGCATTGACCTTGAGTTTTGGAGTTGTAGTTCACATCCAGAGAGCATTAAGGACTCAAAAGTGATGAATCTGGACCAAACTTGACACAAATCTATATAAATTAAAATGTAATGTTCGTTTGTGGGATTAACAGAACTCAAAAACCACTGGACAAATTGACACCAAATTTAGACACAAGACACCTAACAACCCAATGTATGTCCTTCACTCCAAAAAAATTGATTTTGTCATTTGGAAGTTGTAGTTGCTGGGATTTATAGTTCACCTACAATCAAAGAGCATTCTGAACTCCACCAACGATGGAATTGAACCAAACTTGGCACACAGTTCTCCATGACCAACAGAAAATACTGGAAGGGTTTGGTGGGCAGTGTCCTTTGGTTTTGGAGTTGTAGTTCACCTACATCCAAAGATGACTGTGGACTCAAACAATGATGGATCTGGACCAAACTCTACAAGAATACTCAATATGCCCAAATGTGAACACTGGTGGAGTTTGGGGGAAATAGAATCTTGACATTTGGGAGTTGTAGTTGCTGGGATTTATAGTTCACTTACAGTCAGAGCATTTTGAACCCCACCAACAATAGAATTGGGCCAAACCTCCCACACAGAACCCCCATGTGGGCCACAGCAATGTGTGGCAGGGGACAGCTATTACTCAATATGCCCAAATTGAACACTGGTGGAGTTTGGGGAAAATAGACCTTGACATTTGGGAGTTGTAATTGTTGGGGTTTATAGTTCGCCTACATCCTGAGTCCCCTTTGGGGTTGAGAAGGGTAGTATATAAATACTGCAAAAAATAGTAATTCTGAACTCCATCAATGACAGAATTGGGCCAAACTTCCCACACAGAATCCCTGTGCCTTGAATGGACTCACTGGCACAAGCCTCCCTCCAGCCTCACTCGCTCTACCTCGCCCGCAGATGTGCACCACGTTGTCATGCACCAAACATGCCTGCTCTCCCCTTGGAGTCTCAGAATCAGCCCTTCCCTTGGCTGATTCTGAGCCGGCCAATCACAACAGGAGGAGGGCTTTTGGTGGGAGGATTAGCCCTCTGTTTCCAAAAAAGGAAGAGAAGGATAGGCAGGAGAGATCTTCAGTCTTTTCTGCCAAAGGGGTTCCTAAGACCATCAAACATATATGTTTTCTGATGGTCTTGGCGACCCCTCTGAAACCCGCTCTTGACAACCTTCCAGGGGTTGTCAAGACCCCCAAGGTTGAGAAACACTGCACTAGTACTCTTGTTTGAGTTCACAAGCCAACTCCATGAGCCATGGTTTGAAGTTGGTTTCTGTGTTGTTGCACGCTGGGCCTATGGCAATGTCTGTTTATAGGACGTGCTTTCTGTATGCCCAATGGGGACGCAGGGGTGCCTCAGCTAAAGGGTCCCATAGGTTTCCCAAAACAAAGTTCTGTAGAGGCTCAAAATAAGTCCAACAAAGTTCTTTATTAAGTCTTAAATCTTCGAACAAATGAATAAAATGCCATATAATCTTGAAAAACTGGTAGCTTTCTCGATCTGCCAACAAGGGACAGGCAACTGCTTGATAAACTGTTCCTATCTTCTTTAGGGAAACCGTCCAACCCCTCCTTAGGCAATCTTTCTTAACCCGGGTTGGCATGAGGCCCCAACTCCCGGCTCCAAGCTGCATTATGGATAGTCGAAGCAGTCCCTTACCAGGCAATGGTTGCTGCAGATCTGCCAAGCTGGTGTCCCTTTAGTTTCTCCAAGAAGGCTGTGGAACTATTTCTTTGCCCAGCAAAGGCTGGCTGTATTCCTCTAGCAAAGCTGTGGACCATGCCACGGTCACGTCTAGGCTGGACTATTGTAACGCCCTGTATGTGGGCCTTCCGATGTCTATGACCCGGAAGCTTCGTATTGTTCAGAATGCGGCAGCCAGGCTACTCACAAGAACGCCCATGAAATGCCATATAACACCAGTGCTGCAACATTGACATTGGCTTCCAACTGAGTACCGTGGCCTGTATAAGATGCTAGTTCTGACCTTTAAAACTCTTTACGGCCAGGGTCCATCGTACCTTAGGGACCGCCTCTCCTTCTCCCATCATCGGAGGTCGCAACGACCAGCCCAACGTGACTTACTCCATATACCGGGTCCTAGAGAAGTGCACTTGGAAAGGACCAGACGCAGGGCTTTCTATTTCTGCCCCTGCCTTATGGAATTCCTTGCCACCCTACATGAGAGCCATGCGTGACTTAGGGCCTTTTACTCAAGCCCTTAAGACCTGGCTTTTACTAGAGCATTCGATCTCTGTTAATTTTTAATTTTTGTATGTATGTATTTTATCTTTTACAATTTAGCTGTAAATCGCCTGGAGCATTCTCGGATGGAGGGCGATTAATAAGTTATTAAATGATGATGATGATGATGATGATGATGATGATGAACTGTAACTTTACTCCCCAGCAAAGCCGTAGAGGTTCTCCTTTTTCCCCAGCAAAGGCTGGCTGTAGATCTATTTCTTTGATCCCGGCAAAGCTTTTTACAGGTGGGGTAGAGAAAAGTCCATATGTCCTACTGTAGGGCTCCAAACTGTGAGACTGAACTAAAAGTCCCCCTTTCCTTCCAAAGCCCGGGGAAAGGGAAAGCATGTAAAAGGTGTAAACCTTGCAAAGTTGCAATCATAGGGCCAACAACATAGATTGTTGGCCCTATGATTGCAACCTGGGGAAGCCACCTGATTACAAAAAAGCATAGCTTGAATAGATTCATGCAAACTAACAGTGCAAGAAAGGAAATTCAAATCTCCTGACACAGCCGTGCCAGCACAGTTTCTTTTGCAGGGAAAAAGAAGGTGAAACATTAGCCACATGCTGTCAACTTGGAACCACCTGGATATTCCAAAAGAGAAGGGAATGTTTCCCAGATCCTCCTGTCAGCCTTGCTGGGAAAAGTGGGCAACTTTGCAAGGTTATTCACACATTGTATTTCAAGACATTCAAATGCAAATGGTCCAACAAACCCTCTGATTCCCACCTGCACCTCGTCCATCTGTTGGGGTAAGATGCGAAGGAAGTCATCGGGAAGATTGCCTAACAATGGAGGGTTCCAGTTCCGGTACCGGCGTTGCGCTGGAGGCCCACTTGAATTCTGGATATCAATCCTGGGTGGTCAAAGGGGAAGGAATGGGAAGAGCAGATCAAAACTGAAAGAAGGTTTGAGAATGCAGTTGTCGTCAATGGCTCAATTTGAGGCCAATGTGTCAGGAAATTATTATTTATTTTATTTATTAATCAATTTTATATACCGCCCCTCCCCGAAGGCTCAGAGCGGTTCACAATACACACACGTATTAGAGACAGCAGCAAAGTTCTGAAGAAAATGTCCCTTCTTATCCAGGAGGATTTTCTGGCAATTCCTGGCACCTGTTGCAAAGTTTTATTCCCACCTTCAAATTGCCTTGTTTTTAATTCCAAGACATATTGGAACAGAGATGTCTTCACATTTTCTTATACTTATGGCACATATTAATTGTGGCGCAGCAGCCTAAAGTGCTGAAAGGTCAGTATTTTGAATCCAGGGAGCGAGGTGAGCTCCTGCTGTTAGCCCCAGCTTGTGCCAATCCAGGAGTTCGGTAACATGCAAATGTGAATGGATCAGTAGATACCGCTTGGGTGGGAAGTTAACAGTGCTCCATGCAGTCATGCTGGCCACATGACCTTGGAGGTGTCTATGGACAATGTCAGCTCTTCAGCTTAGAAATGGAGATGAGCACCAACCCCCAGAGTCGGACATGACTAGACTTAATGTCAGGGGAAACCTCTATGTTATGGCACATATCAATAAAATAGCAGTTCTGCACTACACAACTATTACGCTAAGGTATTTTTAAATTAAAAATCCCTCAGGAGATGCTCTTCCTTTGGATTTCAAGCATCCAATGGCCAGGTTGACTAGAAGTCTACAAAATACATTTCCAAAAAACCCAGCCCAACAAACGTACCTGGGGGGCGGCGTTGGAGGGGCCTGCGGGTACTGCCGGTCAAAGATGTGCATGTCATAGGAAGGGGGAGAGTAGACTGGAGGAGGCTCTTCATCTGAACTATCAGGCTCCAGAGTCCGTTCCAAAATCTGAATTAAATTACAGAGATATGCAGACACAGAGCCATTGAGACACAGAAGTTCGTCTTAAGTTGATTTGAAGGCACACAACAACAAATATATGCAGAAGCCCTAAACCAGCTGCCCCGAGTCCCTTTTGGGAGATGGTAGAGGAATATTTATTTATTTATTTATTATTTAAACTTATATGCCGCCACTCCCCTGGGGCTCGGAGCGGCTTACAAGAATGGCTAAAATCTAACAAAATTTAAAGCAATTTAAAACAATTTAAAAACAACACTATCAAACATTAAAAGCCTGTCGAAACAGGTATGTCTTACATGCCCTGCGGAAAGCTGGTAAGTCCCGCAAGGCACGGACTTCAGGTGGCGGAGTATTCCAGAGTGATGGTGCCACTGCTGTGAAGGCTCTGCGTCTGGTTGCTGTTAGACGCAAGGTCTTGACACTGGGGACTTCCAAGAGATCTTGGTCCTCAGAACGGAGGGATCTCTGGGGTTGGTAGGGGGTGAGGCGGTCCCTCAGGTACATCAGCCCCAGACCATGCAAGGCCTTAAAGGTGAGTACCATCACTTTGAAAGTGATCCGGTGCTCAATTGGTAACCAATGCAGCTGTAGTAAGATTGGGGTTATGTGGCATCTCATCGGAATTCCTGCAAGAAGCCGAGCTTCCGGATCACTGACAGAGGAAGGTCAATGTAGAGGGCGTTACAGTAGTCCAGTCTTGAGATGACTGTGGCCTGGATCACCGTAGCTAGGTCGTCCCTGGACAGGGAGGGGGACAGCC